AAAAAGGGTTTACATTTGCAACAAAATCCAAAAGCATAATCATTTAACACTTATGCACAGGGGGAAAAATGATTTGTTAGATATAATTGATACATATAACCCCTGCAACCCCCCTGGGGGATCTTCTGAAGCTTTGATAATTGGTGGGGATTATTGTCCCCATACATTTTTCTGAATTTCAGCATTGACCGATGGTTCCAATTCTTTCACTGTTACATTTTAGATTCACATCAATGCATCAAGGGCTCTCATTACTTTTTCACAGTCAAGGTGGGAAACGTAGGAGGTGACATTGCTGACTGGCTTCTAAAAATGCCAATTGCCTTTCCATCTCTGATTTCAATACTTTGACTTACTGCCCCAGAAAGAGCGTGCAGTGAGTGAAGTTAGAACACCAAATCTAGAAACATTTTCCAATCTGGATACTCAAAAAGTATTAAAGCCATTAGATCACCATGCCAGCCAGGCAATTAATATTTTCTAAATCAGAGCTCAGCTACATACATCGCTCACATATTCTTTAAATACATGTCTCCTTTAAATATCTCTGTGAAGGTTCTCATTCCTCCAGGTCATGGTATATCTGTAAAAAACAAGTCAAGGCAACTGGACTTGCTGTATTTTTCTTGAAGACGTTTCACTAGTCGTCCGACCAGCTTTATTCTTTGAGAAAGCTGGTTGGATGACCACTGAAACATCTTCAAGAAAAATACAGCAAGTCCAGTTGCCTTGACTTATTTTATAAAAGACATGTTTCCTTTAAAAGCATTCCATTATAAGTGAGATGTGGGGGTTGCCATTGCTGACCTCCTTCTGAAAGTGCTAATCGCCTGGCTTTAGTACTCGTGAGTAGCACAAAGCAAATGGATGTCAGACATCCTTCCATGTATTCTTGTCTTGGGTCAGTGAAGCCCAATCATCATGTTAGCCAGTTGGCCGGCATCTTCAGAAGGAAGTCAGTAAATGACAGGGTGTAGTTTGAGCATTTTCTCGGCACAGAACACATCTGCAGCTAAGGAAAAACATGCTAAAGACAGTCCTTACCTGTTCTGGATCAGTGACTCAGACTACTGAATCAAGAGGATCATTATGACAAAAAGGCTACTAGAGGTAGCCTAGAAGTAGTCTGAAGTAGCTTACTTCAGGAGGAGGTCAACAAAGCCCCCCCCCCGCCTTCAGTACCTTCATGGTGGCTGACACGGCACAAATATGCAGATTGGGAAAGTCAAAAGCCCTTATCTGCCAGGGGATGAACATGACAGGATGTCAAATGGCAAATGGCCAGGTGAACTGCTCAGCAATGACAACCTATTTTGTTCCCATGGTAGGTTTTTTTTAGGGGTCACATGTGATGTTTCAGGGCATCCAAAGCAACCTGTTTCTCATGGTATTCATGGTCTTGACGAAGGGGTTCCCTCAAGGTGCCGAATGTCACCTTTTTTTTTTGGTCATGTGACAGCAACAAATACTACCAGTGGGATTCCTCCTGCTTTACTGGTGACATAACTCCCTCTTCAAAACGAAGGGCAATGCACTGCACTGCGGGAAACCGCGCATTTTATTACACATTGCCGCAATGCATTGATGTGAATGGGCCCCTATGGTTTACCGATGAGCATCATTTGTAAATGAAGCATCCGTCTTGAGTGAGGGCAGCTACATATTATGCATTGCATTAATACGCATGCATTGTTGTGCATTGACGAGCTCTGCATTATGGCTAAATAGGCTGCATTATGGTCATTTAAATCATGCAAGTGACTTTATACATATACACTGATCTTGGATTGCAGAGGCCTCTGCAGTCGCTTTGGCACCCACCCG